ACGTAGCTCCGTCACTGTGCATGGACCAGGGTCCCCTTGTAAGGGAACCTTGATCATGAACGCCGTATAAATTGTGTACTTTTAACATTAGAATTGTGAACTTCTAGAATATAAATTACATTTCTAAGTCAAAACACATAGAATTTGTGAATATAATACATGGTCATTTAATCTGTTAATATTGTGTGATTGCAATATTTGAAAGGAAGTTGTGAATACAAAACAAGGTCATCAATTGCATATATGTTAACATTGTGTGTTCATAGTATACAAATTGTGAATTTTTAAAAGATAAATTATAAATATTTAGTATGTAAATTGTGAGCATTTAGATCTGAATCCACCTTGCAAGGTGGATCCGAGTCCACAGAATAATTCGTTCACAATCTATCTCAGGGCATTACTTTTACGTAGTTACGTACTTAAGGTAAAAATAATCTATATCTATACTATGTATAAAAACAAAATCCCCCATTTTAACTTCCCGCCCAAAATACTCTTATACAATTAAGATTTGCATAATATTGTAAAATAGTGTAATACAATTCCTAATTGAATATATTGTTTCTTATTTTCCTATTCGTACAACAATTCTACATTAAAATTCCTATTCTAATATTATAAAATAGTGTAATACAATTCCTAATAGAATATATTATTTCCTACTTTCCTATTTGTACTACAATTCTACATTAAAATATCTATTCATAATACAATACAACACTATTAGAATTCATATTTCTATTCAACAATATTATATTATTCATTTTCCCGTTAAAAATTATATTCTCCATTATTAGTTTTATAATTCTCCGTTAATTCTCTGTTAAATTTACTAAATTTCAAACTCCCATTAAAACTCAACTGCCTGGCTGAATTATTAAGATTTAAACAAAAAATTCTTAAAAACATGCATGCTTAATTCCAAGCTTGTATCTTCCGGCAATTACATAAAAGCAACATAATTTCATACAACACTGATAAACCCAGTTAAAATCAAACTCAATCTCCCAACTCCATGTTGTACTCAAACACTCCTAAATCACCAATAAATATAGCCCAAAATCCAGCACTCCATCACCAAGACTGAAACGGAAGATTGAGGAAGAGCAATTTGGAAACAATCACCTATTTTTCCATCACTACTCAATATTGAATCAATGATATTTAATTTACTCCAATCTATTTATTCGACTTTGTTATTTAATTTTCATTATTTATAAATAAACTAACTTTTTTTTTTTTTGTTGTTTATTTTTTCCTTTTAAGAGTTGGTGTTATCAGATTCAGATAAAAAATGGTCTACTTCGGTGGAGTTGGAGAAGTTGCTATCTTTGTGAGGGAAGAGCCTGAAGGACTTTTTAGAAATGTCAATTTCAGACGAAACTAACATGGGTTTGAAAGAAAACATGTTGATAGCCGAATAGTTGGTGTATAACAAGGAATCTTTGAAGACAGAGCATGAAACATTGGTAACACAATTGACCGACGAGCAAAAGAATGTCTATGACTCTGTGATGAATGATATTGATTCTAGTGAAGGTGGATTGTTCTTTGTGTATGGTTACAGAAGAACAAGCAAGACGTTTGTGTGGAGAATGTTATCGTCAAAGATAAGGAGTCACGGTGATACTGTTCTGAATGTTGCTTCTAGTGAAATAACATCTTTGCTATTGCCGGGAGGCAGGACGACACATTCCAGATTTTCTATACCACTCTCCTTGAACGAAGATTCCATCCCACGTGCAATATATCGCAAGAAAGTGACCTTGCTGAGCTTATAATAAGGAGCAAATTGATAATATGGGATGAAACACTGATGACGCACAAACACTATTTTGAGGCTTTGGACAAAACCATAAGGGATCTATTGATGTTCGCCATACCGGGTAGTGCTGAAAAGACTTTTGGTGGAAAGACAATAGTTTTGGGCGGCGATTTTAAACAGATCCTACCTGTTATTCCAAAAGCAGCAAGACCAGTAGTTGTCGGGGCAAATATTAATTCTTCATACCTGTGGACAAATTGCAAGGTATTAAGGCTCACCAAGAACTTGAGACTATGGACCTTATCTTCATAGGAAGATGGACAGACGGTTGATTGGTATTCAAAATGGATTGCAGATATCGAAGATGGGATTGCAAGGGCTGTAAATATCGGTTCATTTGAGATCAATATTCCGGCATAGTTTTGTTGAAGTGTGGACACAATCCAACAACAACTATAGTGGAAAGCACATTCCCATACAAGCTCAAGATATGACATGCTTGATGAGTCGCAGCTAGAAGGCCGATCGATCCTCTCGCCGACTTTAGATGTCGTTGATCAAATTAATCAGTACATGTGCGACATGAGTACTGCAGAAGGATGAATATATTTAAGTTGTGACTCTTTGTGTAAGGCAGAATCAGACAGTAAAAATTTATCAGAAGTACACACTGCTGAATTCTTAAATAGTTTGAGATTGTCGCGTCTTCATAATCATTCATTGACATTAAAGGTCGGTGCACCTGTTATGTTATTGCGGAACATAGACCACTCTCTTGGTCTTTGTAACGAGATGCGACTCATCACAAGATTGGTAGATCACATTGTCGAAGCAAGAGTTGTTAATGGGATACATGAAGGAACCAAAGTTCTTATCCCCTGAATGTCTCTCACTCCTTTTGATACGAGATTTCCCTTCAAGTTCCAGCGTAAACAATTCCCATTGATGCTTGCATATGCCATGACTATCAACAAAAGCCAAGGTCAAACACTAACTCACGTTGGGTTAGTCTTTAATCACGAACAATTGTACGTGGCTTTCTCCCGAGTCACCCATTCTGATGGCATGAAGGTGTTAGCTCTAGACAAGTATGGACAAGATTGTGTTACGACTACCAATGTCGTTTACAAAGAAGTTTTCAATAATGTGAAAATACAATCGATGATTATTATGTTTTTTTTTTTCAAAATGACAAAATTGCTATATATCTAGACAAAAATATATCCTTTATACAAATGAATTAGGATACCAATTGATTACTATAACTAAGTTGCTAGAGAACGAGCACATTGCCCAATTTATAAAAATCCTAAACAATGATATATAAAAATCTCTACAGTTACAGCACCGCATGCGTACATCTACACATTAACTATTAATTTGAGCAATTACTTGTTCGAATTCAAGCAATGATAACATCAACAAATATAAACGATCCAAACCATATCTTCAATTGCACTATATAAATATATAATACTCCCTCCATCACATTTTATGTATCTAATTCGGTTAACGAGTCTTGATTGAAGTTATTTTTAATCCAATTTTTCATAATATTAAGTTTAGTATTAGTTTATAAAATTTATATATTTAGAAACTATACTAAAAATACTATTAAACACAAAAAATTAAATTTAAAAATAATTAAAGGATACTAAAGAAAATAAACTAAGAAGAAAGAGTTAGTTTGATCAATGAATAGTAAGTAGAACAAATAAAATGGGACATATGGAGTATTTGATGTTATAATTTAAATAATTGTATATTGATCAAAATATTCTTAATATATTATAACAAATCCATTTCATGCATCGGGTGAGAATACTAGTTTACAATAATAATGCAACTACATCATATTATTGATAAAAAAAACTTTAAGTGGTCAAGTGGTGGCTCTCTCTGGATTTCCTTTAGAGAGTATCTCCCTAGTTTTCTAGGGTTTCTACCCCACTATGGCTGACTGTATCCCATTATGGCGTTTCATTCACTCCCACGATGCCTTCATCCACGTTCTCCTTTTCATGCTATTTACGTATGCGATCGCCCCAGGTCTCATTCGCATCATCCCGCCGATCTGCGTTCTATTAATCACGCCCATCATCTGCGATCTCATTTACGTTCGGTTCTTGCGAATATCAGCCACCGTCCGATATCAGGCTCTCCGATCGATCACTCATGATCGCTTCGATCGGGCTTTCAGATCCCATCAATTCCCGTTTGATCGTTTTTTCTGTCATCAGATTGTTCTGCATTTGGTCATTATGGACACCCGGGTGATTGAGGAGGCATGCGCGGTGATGAAGTTGACGGAGGAGGAAACAAGAGGCCTGAAGGCTCCAGAAGAACAGATCACCCCGCCGGAGATCTTCTATCATGAACTAGTGGGGTGCTTCTTGACTGATCGGCTGATCAAACACATGCAGCAGGTTTTGGCCTCGGTCTGGAGGCCAGTCATGGGCATGCGCATTCTCCCGATCGAGGAAAATTTGTTTCTGTTCCAATTCCCGCACCTGAAGGATCTGCAAAGGGTGATAGATGATGGCCCTTGGACCTTCGAAAATCATACTCTAATTTTCGATAAGGTCCCGATTGGGATGAATCCAGCGGATGTCAACCTCAACTCGGTGGATTTCTGGGTTCAGGTACACGATTTGCCAACAGTCTTTGCTTCTGCAGATTTCATATCCCGCATCGATAATTATGTTGGTATATTCAAAGCGGCAGACCCACACAACTTTGGGGGCACCTGGAGAAGCTTTTTCAGAATCCGCGTTCGGATCGATGTTCTGCAACCTCTGAAACGGAGGATGCGCTTATTTCGCAAAGATGGGTCGGCGCATTGGGTGAATTTCAAGTACGAGCGTTTCGGCACATTTTGTTTCTGTTGCGGGGTTCTGGGACATGCCGAGAAGTTCTGCAAGAAAGCCTATGACGAAGGCTTGGAACCGGACGCCTACCCCTACGGGGCGTGGATGCGCGTAGGAGCTCGCTGTCAAGTGTGGCCGATCGGGGCGAAGTGGTTACTACAGGATCTTCCGCAAACTGCTCCTCTTGAGCCATCTCAGAAGTCGGGATCAGTGATCCAGGAGGTGGAGGCGCTGGAAGAAACAAGCGGGTTGCATGGGGACTTGAAACGCCGCAGGGAGGGTAGCGAAGGGGAGGATATCATCATGATTGATCATTCAAAAAACATGGGATCGGCGGGTCTGGCAGTCCAGACTCGCCCCACGCAATGAGCATCTTGAGCTGGAACTGCCGGGGGTTGGGTAGCGACTGGACAGTTCAGGAATTGCTGGGCCTCGTGTCCAGCCAGCAACCCAGTTTCGTTTTCCTTATGGAAACGAAAGCAACGACGTCACAAGTTGAACGAATAAGAGTACGCATGGGGTTCGAAGGTCGACTGTGTGTGGAGCGGAATGGCAGGGGCGGTGGATTAGCCGTTCTTTGGAGAGATGCGACAATGGCCACGTTGATCAATTATTCAACAAATCACATAGATGTATGCGTTAAATTACCGGGGATTCCAGAGTGGCGACTTACCTGCTTTTACGGGAATTCGGACCAAAACAGACGGCAAGAGTCCTGGGATCTACTTCGCGAGCTCAGAGATCAGTCATCCCTCCCATGGGTCACCATTGGGGACTTCAATGATATCACGTGCCAATCAGAGAAACGGGGGCCTCACCCTCAACCTACGGCTCTCATCGAGGGTTTTAATGACTCTCTTATGGACTGTCAGTTATTCGACTTGGGCATGGAAGGTAGTCGATTCACCTGGGAAAAGGGGCGCGGTACTGAGGCATGGGTCGAAGAACGTCTCGACAGAGCGGTGGCTACTCCTAGTTGGCTTGACATTTATGAGACGGCTGTGGTCCGCAATCTGCTAACTTTGGAGTCGGATCATACTGCTATTTTATTGGATGTGGATACGGGAGCTGTTCGAAGGGCCAAGAAAAGGTTCAGGTTTGAATCTGCATGGCTACAAGAAGAAGGTTGTCATAGGGTGGTCGACCAAGTGTGGAATTTGACGCATGGCATGGATTTTCAAAGCCGATCATGGAGTGTGGGCGCCATTTGGGACGATGGGTAGATGAGTTCTATCGACGAAGCGGTAAGCAAATTAAAGTTCTTCGAAGCAAACTGGAAAATTTGAGGGACCCGCGACACCATCAGGATGTGGCGGCGTACATCGAGACCGAGGGTACTTTACAGAGCCTATTACGACAAGAAGAACTCTACTGGAAGCAACGGGCGAAACAACTCTGGCTCAAACATGGAGATCTTAACACGAAATACTTCCACAAGTCGGCATTGGCAAGACCACGCAGGAATTTTTTACAACGGATTAAGAGCCCGGAGGGTCACTGGCTAGAAGGCACGAGGTTGAACGAGGAGGTGATGCATTATTATTCAGATATTTTTCATTCTTCCGGTATCAATGCGGAGATATATAGCCAAGTCTCGAACCGGGTCTCGGCCGAGATGAATACTGCACTAGCATTACCCTTCACCATTGTCGAAATTAAAGAGGCTTTATTTTCGATGGCACCGGAGAAGGCGCCAGGATTAGACGGTATATCACCCGCTTTTTATCAGCACTTCTGGCCTATCTTGGGTCATGATCTGTTCATATTTATCAATCACTGTTTAACGGATCGAAGGTTGCCACCGGGTCTAAATGACTTGAATATCGTTCTTATCCATAAGAAAAAGTGCCCCGAGAAAGTCTCTGATCTTCGTCCGATCACTCTTTGCAATGTAGTGTACAAGGTCCTCGCCAAATCTTTGGCAAACCGAATGAAGGGTATGCTCCATAGTGTGGTGTCAGAATCACAAAGCGCCTTTGTGCCTGATCGGTTATTGACGGACAACATCATCGTAGCTGGGGAAGTGGGTCACTATTTGAGAAGAAAGACCAGTGGGGCCATGGGTTGGTCTGCATTGAAACTCGACGTGGCCAAGGCCTATGATCGAATGGAATGGGGCTTTTTGGAAGGAATGCTCATGGCGCTGGGTTTTGACAGTAACTGGACCAGCCTGCTCTTGATGGGTGTCAAGTCAGTGATATATCATATTCAGGTAAATGGCGAGTCTGTGGGGACTATCACTCCGACATGTGGTATTAGGCAAGGAGACCCTTTATCTCCCTACCTATTTATTCTTTGCGCTGAAGGGCTGTCTGTGTTGTTGCAACAGGCTGAGAGACAGGGTGACATTCACGGGGTACGAATCGCTCATGGTGCCCCGGCCGTGACACATCTGTTCTTTGCCGACGATAGTCTTCTTTTCTTCAAGGCCACGGTCACAGAAGCATAGAAAATCAGAAACTGTCTCGATACTTACAGTGCAGCTTCAGGTCAGGTAATCAATTATGAGAAATCGAACATTATTTTCAGTGTCAATACCACTCCGGAAGCCCGGTCCATTGTGGCGGGGTGTGTGGGGGTCCGTGAGTCCAATGATTTGGGACGCTATCTAGGCCTTCCCTCGGTCTTGGGACGTAACAAATCGGCTACGTTTTGCTATATTGAACAGAAAATTCGGGAGCGGATTGGTGGATGGCAACAAAGATTACTGTCGCGGGCGGGTAAGGAGGTCCTATTAAAAAGCATTGCCTAGGCTTTACCCATATTCACAATGTCAGTATTCTACCTACCCCAACGGGTTTGGGACACTTTGGAACGTTTATTTAATCGCTATTGGTGGGGTGGAGGCGGGACGGGCAGTAGAGGCATCCATTGGCTAAGTTGGTCCAGGCTATGTTCACCAAAGGTAGAAGGCGGTTTAGGCTTTAAACGCCTTCACGAATTCAATGTGGCTCTGCTCGCTAAGCAAGGTTGGCGTCTTCTAATTTATCCAGACTCTTTGGTAAACCAACTCTTACGTGCGAAATACTATCCTCATGATTCGTTTTTGAATGCGCAAGTTGGCCACAATCCGAGTTACTTGTGGAGAAGTATAATGGCGGGGCAAGCTTTACTCAAGAAAGGTGCTGCGCGTCGCATTGGCGATGGGGCGTGTTCGAAGATATGGGAGTGGCCATGGCTAGCGGACACGGCTTCACCACACCTATCCACGCCTTTTACTGAATTGAAAGATGCGCCAGTGGCGGGACTGCTCACCCCGCAAGGCACATGGGATGAAGCTATTCTTCACGACCTGTTCACCGCAGAGGACGTATCCCGGATTTTAGCCACGCCTTTATCTCCCACGTCGCCGGATTCATGGCGATGGCTTGGCGATGCCCGGGGGATGTACACAGCTCGGCAAGGCTATAAACTGTTGACGGAGAACAACTCGGCAAATGATTGGGGAGGCAGGTTCATGGCATGGGCACGATTATGGAAATTGACTATCCCTCCAAAAGTGAAGAGTTTATTATGGCGTTGTATACGGGGCATCATTCCGGTGAAAGAAATCTTAAAGCAGCGACATGTGTGGATTGGGGGGGGGGGGGGGGGGGTTGTGTGCTATGTGACTACCAGATCGAAACAATGGAACATGTCTTCTGTGAGTGTGTGGTAGCTAAACGGCTTTGGGAAAATGATGATATTTTACGGGGTGGATCGGTAATGGAGCTTCTGGAAGTTCTAATCAACAATGCCCCAACACATTAGGTAATCCGTGCGGCAGCCATCTTCTGGGTGTTGTGGAAGGCTAGAAACGACAAAGTCTGGCGAGATGCATCAACATCCACAGCTTCGTTATTGGTTTTAGGTACAGACTTTACAAGTTTTGTGGAATTCTGCCAGGAATTCTTCGGGGAAACATCAGTTTTTATCTCGCCAAATACTCTCTGGACTCCACCACCGCTTAACTGGTTGAAATGTAATGTGGATGCAGCCCTTTTCACTGATGGAGCAGGCTTTGGAGCCATTATCCGAAGTCATGATGGCCGTTTCGTCACAGCTAAAGGCGGCAGACTAGGACGCATCCAAGATCCGTTATTGGCAAAAGCTTTGGCGATTGTGCAAGCATTGGAATGGTTGCGTAGTTTAGATTTTAATAATATCATTATAGAAACAGATTTTTTAATGTTTTCTTCAGCTTTTAATTCTCGGCATTCTGATTTATCGTATGTTGGTTCTATTGTAAAGCAATGTCTTCAAATTGCTAGTGACATTGGGTCCGTTCAGGTACGCCATGACAAGAGGTCAGTGAATCACGTAGCTCATGTTCTTGCGCGGGCGACTGATTCTCCATCTGTCCTAGGGTCGTGGTTAATTAACCCGCCCTCGTGTATTGCTGCTCTTGTGAGCTATTAATGAAGTTTTCTTCCTGGTTTTCAGAAAAAAAAAACCATCATATTATTTATTGATAAATCTAAAATAGGTTCATTAAAAGAATACTAGGGATTCATTTTCATAATACATTAGTTTAATTTTATCAATATTGCAAGTCCATCAATTAACAACTAAAATTCAAAAAAAAAAAAAATAGTATGAGTATCATTGAAATATTTTTAATAATATATTTTGTAACATTGATTTTTTTTTTTTTTAAAGAAACACCAAACAATCTGCATTAACTCAAAAAAGCACGAACAAAACTCAGGTTCGCCCTCCCACGAGCAAGGACCAGCATGAGAACCAATTACTTTAGCAAGAGCGTGAACAAGCTGGTTCGCTGACCGATTAATGTGAATAACATGAAAAGTATATAAAGTGTTCAGAATAACACGACAATCGCTAACAATAGAACCAACATAGGAAAGACATATCAAGTTACCCGACATGGCACTAACTAGATTCAAACAATCTGACTCAATTCGGGCATTCATTATTGATTTACGTACCCTTTAGCTATGAGAGGGCCTCTTTGCATGCCATTGCCTCAGTGAGTAGAGGGTTCTGCGTACACCTAACTCTGCCATTGATGGCTACCACAAAACCTCCATCTGCCGTCACGAGCCAAGCTCCAAACGAAACCGTGTTCATAGTCAGGTTTAGTCCTGCATCCAACTTGCAAACAATAGAGTGGTCGTTGGACACAGACTCTCCACCATATGCCGGCTCATTGTTCTGGACAACCATGCCTCCCCCACCTCCAACCTTGTCGTTTCCTAGGCCAAAACCACCCTCCTAGCTCTTGCTCACACGTACACCGGCCTCACCAACTTTCGATCTCACACAACCTCATTTCTTGCCTGCTAGATAGCGTGAAGGACAACTACAATGTTGATTGAGTATTATCAAAAGATCTCAATGAGATATTTTTAATAATATATTTTGTAACATTGATTTTATTTATACAAAAATTAAAGAATAATATGTTAATCATAATGTGCAAATTGTTGTTGTTCGTTGTTGTTGTTGAAAGTGAGATGGAATTGTAGGGTTGTAAAAAAAAAAATTAAATTATAAGTGAATTGTAAATAGGATGATATGATAATGGAGTTTTCTTTTAAAAGTGAAATATGCACTATTACAATTAATGCTTTTAACGTCGGTTTCTTGGAACTTTTAACATCGATTTTCTATCGACGTTGTAAGTAAACGATACAACGTCAGTTAAAAAACCGACGTCATATATATTTTTTAATTTTAAATTAACATAAGACAATGTCTATTGTTTCAAACAACAAACGTTTTAGGTCATTTTTTTTAAAAAATAGAGATATGACATCGGGTTTTGTGAAAAAACAGACGTCGCATCTCTTTAAATTTTTTTTTTAAAAATAGCAATACGATTTCAATCGTATTTGCAAAAAAAAAAAAATGAAATCAAAATCGTATAAATGGTAAGCCATTCACCAAACCACACAAATTTAATTTAAGGTACCACCACCCTTGGCATTAGAAACCAATTTTTTGACCTGCATGAGGAAGAATTGGATAGATCTAAGTACATTATTACAAGAGAGGTCCACAAAAATACAGACAAGAAATAAAGAGCACATACAATAGAATTTCTTCTAGAATCAGAAGTGAAGGTCATACATGTCAAATTACAGCATATACTTGAATCATGGATTTCAAAATACTACCTAAAATCCACATCTTGAGCACCATTTAGTATAGCATGAGTGAAAATAAATTATAATGTGGACATATGATATCAGGATTAAGATATTAATTAAGAGCACCATTTAGTATAGCATTTGATACGTTCTGAGAACTTTTCCTCTGTAAGATTATCTCTTTTCCTATTTCCTTTTTCAATCAAAAAGAAAATTATTCTTCACTCTATTACTTCAAACTGATTACAATGTGGACATAAGATATCAGGATTAAAATATGAAGAGCATATTGTACTGTTTCAAATAGCAAGATAGGTCGTCAAGTACTCAAGTGTGCTGTGATTTAAGTTCTTGCAAGCATCTGAATAGTGAATACTGCATATCATCACCAAGACTGACTCCATTGCATCACCCAAATGTAAGATTTTCCCTAATAATATATAATATATATTATATATTATGGTCTTAATTAAGTGGTGCACGTTGACTGGGCTTATTAAGTAGTCTGGTTGGACTGAATAACTAGAAGTTGTTAGTCAACCAGACTCTGTGCCTAATATAATCCTGGACTGATGGGATACATGATTATTGATGTTAGCACATTCAGTTACGGTACTCAGACTGCTCAGTAGATACCAATACACTATCTAGGGTTCTGAGTCAGGTTATTCTATATCTAACACCAAATATCAAAAGACTGTACAAAAGAGATAAAAACTACTACTTTCTTCCATCCATTCAAATGATACTGAATGCATGAATAATATGAAGTTCCAACACCAATTCCATGTCATGTTAAAACAGCAAAGATGAAGAAGCAAGAGCATTGAAACCTTAGTCATGTAAATGACAATCGTACGTACTTAACTACAACACATATCTGTCAATACATTCCAGCTGTTTTTTCTATGTAGAAAATTGTTCACTTGATGGAAACAATTGCAATTCAAACTGAAGTTGAAGACGGAGAGAGACTTACCTTCTTCAACCAATATTCTAGAATGCAAATCCAACAATGAGTGCAGTTATTATAGTAAAAACTATCCTCACTGCATTGTATAGTAGGATGGACTTCTCTAGTATACAATATTTTGCTTATACAGCAGTTGTATTCTATACCATTGAAAATAAAATTCCTTGGGCTACTAACTCAAAATTTTCCTCCAGAGAGTTACACTATTATCAAAAAAAAAAAAAAAAAAAACATTGTAAAACAGAATGAAGATGTCGTACCAATTCTGAAACATCTATGTCTAGGCAGAGATACCATTGCATTCTTAGCGAAATCTCATATTTAATTTGTTAACAAAAGCTAATATTCTATTAGCAAAATAGGGTTGAATTCAGGTACTAAATTTGGAAGGCTGGTGGCGACGTCTAAGGCGTGCGCGGACGACGTTATATGTTGTTTCTGTGGTAGTGATGATAACCTAGCTAAAAGCTACAAGTTTACATATTCAATCTACGCCTACACTAAGGGCTCACACCTTAAACCTCCCTAATAAGGGAGCAACCAGATACCAATGGACCACAAGCTACTTGGTATATTTTCCCTTCTTTAATAAGCTCTCTATAGTCCATGAAATGACCTTCTTTATAGAGACGATTCTAAAGATAACCCGAATTACCTCAACGACTCCCGGTTCTTCAATTCACTCTATACCACCTTCTCTGTGGTATCTAATACGCATAAAAAGGAAATGACTATAGCTAAATAGAAATTTTAGTTATTGGTGAATTGATTGTAAAGTACGGATATATGTAGGAATATTACCATTATTGTTAGACATTTTAAGAATATTATATATATGCAAAATATATATATATATATATATATATATATATATATATATATATATATATATTATTAGACCATCTCAAGAATCTTAATCCACAAGACGTCGCCTTTTTCATAAATAATATACTTTCTCTCCTAAGTAACTCTTCAATCCATTATATTACATTTTAATTTAAAAGTATTATAGTTTTCATTTAAAAAAAAAAGTATAACATTTTTTCTCCATAAGTATTACACTTTCTTCCATAAGTAACAATCAATTAATTTATCTCTGATTGATATTATATATTTTTCTCATAAATAATTTTTCAACTCCTAAATATTACATTTTGATTTAAAAATATTACATTTTTTAGTTAAAAGTATTAACATTTCCCTTATAAGTAACAAATAATTCATTCCTTATTAGTACTACATTTTCTAACACAAGTACTATATTTCTATCTTGTTCCGACATGTCTCATGGATAATAATTCATGAGAGATCTCACAAGAGGCTCACCCTTATATATAAGGTCTTTTACATTGTAAAGATTCATTATGATTAAACAACATAAACAATATTCTTGTTTCTTAGAGATTTGTAGTTATTTTTCTAGAACTTTTATACCTTCGTGGTACGTTTGATTCACGGAATAGGTTTAGAATGACATAGCATTCTCAGTAATAGGCCTATTCATTTGTTTAGTAAAAATTTTTATTCCCAAGAACAATGTTCCTGGGAATGGCCTATTCCCTCTACAGGAGGAATAAATATTACTAGGGTCCCCACTAATATTAACTTATTCTTGAGTTCTCAGGAATAGATTTTATATTTTATTTTCTATTTTACCCTTTCTCTCTGTCTTTGCATCTCTTTGGATTCTTTCTCCGAACAGTCAGAACTGGGTCGAAGTTGATGACTACTCTCCAGCACCACCACTGCATTGGTCGGAGTCTCCAAACCATGTAAGGCCCCAGCACCAAGTTTGAGACCACCCGACGCCATTACTGGATCACCCAAATTAAAGTCCCCAGAAGGTTGCGAAGAAGCCCGAATCGATGAATTAGCATCGTCTACTCTAATATTACTCTACTAGAAGAAATCCCCTCGGGTCGTCTACTCTTTCTTGCTCTACTCGAAGAAATCCCCTCAAATTCAAAAATCCCTAAAGCGTCGTCTACTATTTCGTTGTTTTGAAGACTTTGGAGGCTTTCACTTCGCAATTTCAATTTCTTTCTGTTCAGGTATGAATTTGTTGGGTTTCGGTTTGTTTGGGTTATTGATACGAGAATGGAAAAATCATCGGGTGAGCAGAGAGGGGCAACCGCCCTTCGAAAGAAAATCCCAAACTCTCTGCAACCCTCATTTCTTGGGTTTCTATTTGTTTGTTGTTTGTTTTTGTGAAAATGTTGCAACTTTATATTGTTTGTAAACTTAAATACCGACATCTCTGATTTTGGTTTAGTTTTGTTGTTGTACTATGTGGTCCATCCTTGCGTTTGCTAAGCTTTGTTGTACAGAACTTTATGTTGTTTGGTGTGCATTCTTTAATGGAATACTGAGTCAGAGTTGTGGTCCCTAAACCGTAATAAAGTTGAAAATTGCTTACATTTTTTAATAGAATTTGGAGTCAGAGTTGTGCCCCTAAACCCTAACACTAAAGTAGTAGAAAAGTACTTACTGCCTAAACCCTAAAAATGTTGGTTACTGCCTGAAAATGTTGATTCAGAATTGTCTAACATAAACCCTAAAAATTCAGTCAGGTTTTTTGATATAATTGGATAAATTGTGTAATTTAAATGCTGTGAATGGTTTGTTTTGTTGTTAGATTTTGTAGTGATGACCACTGTAGAACTACAAATACACTATGGGGGAAATTTTGTTAAAGATAAAGAACTGCAGTACATAAATGGGGATGTTTGGTGTGTTGATATAGACCCAGATTTACTTTCATATCCACACTTACTGAAGTTTATAAAAGAAGGTCAGTATGGAAAAATAGAGACAATGTATTATAAAGCACTCCATGAGCCATTGGACAAACTAAGACTGTTGTGGAACGATGCAAGTGTGCTAGACCTCACTGCACTAGCAATTAGATTTGAGTCATGTGATATATATGTAGATCACAGAATAGATGATGTTGAATTAGTTCCAAGTCATTTGTTACATGGTTGTGAAGGGAATTGTGAAGGGAGTGATGAAGGGAATGGTGAAGGGAGTGATGAAGGGAATGAAGGTGATGAAGAAGATAATGATTCTCATGAAGTAAACAGGGAGAATTCTGATTTTGAAAATGATGTTGGAGGAGTTAAACGAGAGAATGATACAGTTGCGGGAAAGGGAAAGGAAAATGAGGTTAAGGGCAAGGACAATGAAGTGAACCTAGATGGCTCTAAAAAAAACAGTTGAGGGTGAGACATGTAGTGATGACTACTATTATGACTCAGCAGACCCACCAACCCAAGAGTCAGAGGAAGAAGAAGTTGAACACCATATAACACCTCCATCTAAAAAATATAAGCTGTCATCTTATAATCTAGAATGTGATTTCCCTGAGCTTGAAAAAGGGATGTTATTTGAGGATGCAACACAGTTTAAGACTGTCATGATCAAGTATGCAGTGCACTTTAAAAGGAATATATACTTTTACAAGAATGAGAGTATGAGGGTGAGGGTTAAATGTGTTGAGGGATGTCCTTTTGTTTGTCATTGTAGTTGGGAAGAAAGGTATAAGTGTTTCCAACTGAAAACATGCCTACTTGAGCATAGGTGCAATAACAAATACAGTCTCAAATTGGTTACTCAAAAATGGTTGGAACAAAAGTACAAGGATATAATTATAAAAGACCCAACCATGCAACATACCAAGCTTAGGGATCATATTCAGTCTGAGTTGAAGATTAATTTGACCATCACTATGGTGAGAATGGCACAAAAAGCAGTTTTACACAGGGTGAATCTAGGGTATCCAGAGCAGTTCAAGAGAATAAGAGATTATGCTCAAGAGTGTTTGAACTCTAATGTTGGAAGCACTATAAAGATTCAGTCTACTAGGGTAGTTCCAGAAGCATCTTCTACATTTCAGAGAATATATATTTGTTTCCAAATAATGAAAAGTGGGTTTCTATCTGGGTATAGACTTATAATTGGTTTGGATGGTTGTTTTCTTAAAGGGGGGATGAAAGGTGAGCTCTTAGCTGCTATTGGGAGGGATTCAACTAATCAGATGTATCCAATAGCTTGGGCAGTTGTTGAGATAGAAAACACAGACTCTTGGAGATGGTTTTTACAATTGTTGATTAAGGACTTGGCTATTAACAATAGCTAGAATTGGACAATAATTTCATATCAACAAAAGGTATTTTACATAATTTCATATTTACTTCTGTTTTTGAGTCTGTTTCTTGTTAACAATAGCTGAAATAAGTACAATTTCTAAATCTGCTTTCATAATTTCATATTTACTTCTGTTTTTTATTATGTTTCTTGTTAACAATAGCTGAAATAAGTACAGTTTCTGATTCTACTTTCATAATTTCATATTTACTTCTGTTTTTTTATTTTGTTTCTTGTTAACAATAGCTGAAATAAGTACAATTTCTGATTCTGCTTTCATAATCTCATATTTACTTCTGCAAATAATTACAGTTTTTTTTTTTTTTTTTTTTTTTTTTTTTTTTTTTTGTGTTTCTATTTCTATTTTTGTAGGGTTTAGTGAGTGTTATCCAGGAGCTTTTGCCAAATGTGGAACATAGGAACTGTGCAAGACACATACATGCTAATTGGAGTAAGAAACATAGAGGAAAGGTAATGAAAAAACACTTTTGGATGTGTGCAAATGCAACCACTACACAGCAGTTTGAAGCAATGGTTGAGCAACTAGAATTAAAGGATGCACAAGCTAAAGCTGATTTGGCCAACTATCCTGTAACATATTGGTGCAAGGCTTTCATGAGAACTGAAGTGAAATGTGATTCAGTAGACAACATCTGTGAAGCATTTAATGGAACAATAGTTAAGGCAAGGAGCAAGCCAATAGTGAAGATGTTGGAAGATATAAGGGTAGCTACCATGACAAGGATTGCAAGATGCAGTAAAGCGGTAGAGGAATGGCCTGGTAACTTTGGACCTAGGATAATGAAAAAGCTCAATGAGAATATTGTTGAAAGTATAGGTTGGCATGTTGACTTCAACGGGGATGATGGATATGAGATCAAAAAGGGAAGGCAACAATTCAAAGTGAAGCTACAAGGGAAAACATGTTCCTGTAGATCTTGGGACCTAACAGGTATACCTTGTACACATGCTTGTTGTGCCATATTTGATCTAGGTAGAGATCCAGAGCAATACATTGATGAATGCTACTCCAAGGAAGTTTACAAAAACATTTACACTCACACTATCCAACCACTCAATGGTGAATTCAGCTGGCCTAGAACTAATTCTGAAGAAATACTAGCCCCTTTACCAAGGCCAATGACTGGTAGACCAAAGAAAAAAAGAACCCGTGAGCCTAATGAACCCCCTGTTGGAAAAATTTCAAGGCAAGGTCGAATCATGACATGTTCAATTTGTAAGCAAAAGGGATATCAAAAGAAAGTTTGCCCTACAAAGAGTTCTATGCCATCTGCTGCCTCAGGTGGTGTTTTTACCTCAACTTCTACACCAGTTTCTGCCTCAACTTCTATGCCAACTGCTCCTTCAGCTTCTGTTGCTGCCTCAGGCGGTGGCTCTGCCTCAACTTCTAGGAGAAGTAAACAAAGAAAAAGATCAGGTGGCTTTGGTGTATACATCAACCCAAATACTAGAGCACAAATATTAAATGTAAGTAAATCATTGTTCTTATATTTATATAATTTCAGATTTAATAATTATCGTGACTAATGTATTAACCTTTATGCATTATGTAGCCTGGACAAAGAGGACAACAAGTGCTATCAGTTGGAGGGAATACAGGTGCACCTACCAAGAAGAATCAGTAGTTCCACAAGTTAGGGCATCTAGAATCAGTAGTGGAACAATCTTTTTGTAATGATATTTTGGCTATTAACTGTGTAAACTTGTGAATGCTACTGCCAAATGCCAACTTCTAGCCTAATATTTTTCTATATGTATTTTGTAACTTGTGAATCATGGAAACTTTTGATTATTATGTTAATTAATGTGAATTAACATTGGTACTTTTGAACAATTAATTTTGGCAGCTTTATGGTTTATTTTTTTCTGGTTTATGGTTTATGGTTTATGGTTTCTGTTTGGCAGCTTTATGGTTTATTTTTCTGGTTTATGATTTATGGTGTATGGTTTCTTTTTGGCAGCTTTTGCTTGGTTATGGTTTTTTCTTGCAGTTTGGTAGATGGCTTGGAATGGCAGATGGCTTATAACAGTTCATTTTGGTGGCTTGGAATGCTTGCAGTTTATGATCTATATACATATAAAGGCCACTAAATTTCAGCCAATCAGATTCATCCATTTTCCCGCCCATGATAAACGACAGCGTTTAGTTGTTTTTTTTTTTTTTTTGGGCTTTAGTGTTTGACCATCAGAAGGGAATTGGTGTCAAGCTATATTTGTAGGGGAGTGGCCTACTGCGTGTTTGCAGAGTTGGTATGGTGTCAGGCTATATTGGTAGAGGAGTGGCCTATTGCGTATTTGCGTGTTGCAAAGTTGTTATCTACTCCTACTTGTAGAGGAGTGGCCTATTCACTACCTTAGTTGCTTGCTTATATATAGAAGATACATGTCTAGAGACTTCAAGTTCTATTCAAATACAAACTGTAAAAAAAAAATTCATATTATGCGATCAATGAAGAAGATGACCGGGGTTGTTGGTGCGCAGCTTCGCGTTGTGTGCAGAACTATCAGAGTCCGCCTCCCGTCGGTGTGCCGCCTCCTCAAGGTAAGCTTTTTTCAGTAATCTTTGATTGAATCGTCTTTTTGCCGTTTTTCGGAACGGATCTGATAGATTTTTGAGATTCTGGAATAGGTTATCTGTTAGAAGGATATCCCAAGGATGCTTATCCTCCGCCCAGTTACCTGCCCAAGCCAAGGATACCCTCCATAATATCTCTGCCACAGTACGCCACTCCGCTGCCTCAGCATATTGATAGCTCCAGCTGCTTGGAAGGATGGTAAACTTCTCTCAATCCTCTTATCTATGTTGAATCAGAAAAAAAAAAGGTTTAAAATTAATTATAACACTTTAATCAGAAAAAGAAAAAAAAAAGCACAGATTCTTTTATAATAGCTTGCATGTAATTTTAGATTGTTTGTATTTGGGTTTGGGAACTTATAAGTCTAGAGTATAGTATTTGTGTTATTGATGGTATGCATATATATATATATATATATATATATATATATATATATATATATATATATATATATATATATATATATATATATATATATATATATATATATATATATATATATAGAGAGAGAGAGAGAGAGAGAGAGAGAGATTATAAGTTTTTTATATTGTGTTTGTTCTCTTGATATGGTTTCTGGTGAACTCCTAATTTTTTTTTTTTTTTGAAAGGGTGAACTCCTAATAATTAGCTTATAATACAAAACAGTTGTATCATAAGACAATAACTAACAAAAAAAGGCATCACACTCCTTTATCATCATTTATCTCTAATTGTAGATTGTTAGTAATTGAATTGAAAAATCTAATGAGGACAAAAAATGATGCACTCTGTGCTTGATTAGACTACAAGTTACACAATAACCAATACACACAACATTTTTACTTTACCCCTAGATCTAGCCCTACTACTCTACTAGCATGAGTAACCATTGACAGTAAACATTAAGTACCCTATTGTAATCCTTGATAGTGGCTTTTGAGTTCTCTATAAAGGTGATATATATATATATATATATATATATATATATATATATATATATATATATATATATATATATATATATATATATATATATATATGACATTTAAGAGTGAAACATGTCTAGGTTATTTTGTTGAATTATAATTAATTTTCTAACAAACTAATAAGATGCATCAATTAGAAGATTATGCCAGAATCATGATGGAGGAACTAATTCACTCATCTCTTAGCAGAGATAAGCCGAACCACTTAAAAATTCAACCTTGAAGCAAAAAAAAAAAAGAAAAAAAAAAGGGTAAAGAGTTAAGCACTTAACACACACACTACCATAAAAATCTATGGAGTAGAAGGTTAGAGCAGTAAATGACACTACTTTTTTGGTAGATAATAACACTATATTAGATCTAAGGCTTAAATGGAGGATTTTAAAATTACACCAAAGTTCCAAATGAAGGACTTCTGAAACTCCAAGATGAAACCAATCATAATCAAGCAAAAGATTAACAGGTTAGTTCTTTTCTTTCCATTTTCTTAAATTCACATTTTATGTCATTACTTACTGCCCATTACAATTAATTACCCTTAAACTGTTTTTATCTTTCTTAGCATTCTAGCTTTAAATTTTTTTGTGTTGTGTGATTTAATTTTTACTTAAAATTAGTTTTTTTTTTTTTTTAAACTTACATATAGAGTGATATGTATCAATGTCTTTTAGTGTTAAAAATTTATGAAGTTTATACTTTTAGATTTTTAAACTGTCAAAGATTTTTTTGTTAGATTCAGGCCTATGCTAACATTCGAATATACATATGAACGTCATGCATTTGAACAGAAAATAAATTTGTTAAAAAAAATGGTTTCGCACATTAAAAAATACATACATTTGTGAGAGAAAATAAAATTAAATAGTTCGACTATTATATATATACAAATCCATACATATTAATCGCATGCATGTTGAATAATCTCAAAAAATTGTAGAAAAAGCATGTATGGGAAGGGTTTTTTCACTTATCTTTTCATGGATTTGGCCCTTTTGTTCGGTTGATCTTTCCGTTTTGCATTTCCGCATCCATCGTAGATAGAATATCGGACAGTGAGGTTGTAGATGATCAGATCAGCGGCGTTAATTTCCCGGACAGTGAGGTTTTCTTTCTAGGGGTTTTTTGTGTGGAGAAATTCGCGGGTATGTAGGGTTTTCTTTCTAGGGGTTTTTTGTGTGGAGAAATTCGCGGGTATGTAGTAAAATTTGAGTAGATTTTGAAATGTATCTGTTTCCAGGGTAATTTGTTACACAGATCCAAGAAATCCGAGTTAAATTGGTTAAAAGAAAAAGAAATCGCAGTGAAGTGAGCTACCATTTCCATCGGTGAAGTTATTTGTTTCTAGAAGCGTAGGGAGAGGTCGGAGCGCTGAGGGCGCAGGGTTGGGGGCGGAGGTAGCAGATTAGGTTAAGGTTAGAGTTAGGTTTTTT